TCTTATCCTAAATCTTCTTTGTTACTTTTATCTCTAGGTTTTATAGGTCCTAGGTGATATTATATTATTATTTCTAATTCTTATAAGTAGTATTATAATCTTTTATCTATTAGGTCTTACCTCTACCTCTCTTTCTATAGTATTTACCTTTTACTATAAGCGTAGTTTATAGAAAGGTAGTGAGGTCTCACGCTATATTATTAAACTTATTATATATAGCTATAACGTCTAGAAGAAGCTAAATATACTCTACTATATATTTAGTATAAAGAGGGAGTTCTTTAGGTTTAAGTTAGTATTTAGCTTACTCTACTAGAGAGGGCTTATTAAAGTCTAAGTGAAGGAGAGTTATAATAATAGTATAATAGTCTAAGCTTATAAAGAGGTACTTAGCTACTTATAATCTAGCGTAGGGGACGTTTAAGAGCGCTAAGTTAAGGGTATTACCTACTTTATAAGTAGGAATACTTAGTTTATTAAGTAGAGTAAGTTAAGATTAGTTAAGCTAGTTTATAAAAATAGTAGTACTAAAAGTAAGGTTTACCTCTAGTTATTAAGTTTTATAGAGGTAGTTAAAGTTACTTATAATTAATATGCTATAAGGTAGTTTTTATAATATAATAATATTAAGTATTATTTAGTTACCTCTTTTATAATATATATTAAAGATATATCTACTTTTAACTTTTACTCCTAATAAGTTATAATATAGTTTAAGAGTAATATTAAAGGAGCTTAAAGTTAGTAATATCTTTTTAATATAAGTAATAACTTATAGCTAGGTTTTCTTTAAATCTTAATTATAAATAGGTATATATATATAGTATTATAGGTATATTTTAGTCTTATTATTCTTTTTTTTTTTTATAATATATTAAGGTTCTTAGATAAGGATAATATTAGCACTAGCTATACTAGTAAATCTAAAGGTAATATTATATATTACTTTTACTTTTTAGATATTAACTTAAAAGATATTAAGTAACTTATTTATTAGTAGTTTTTAGGCGACTTTAACTATAAAGCTTTTAGTATATACTAAGCTAAAGAGTGGTTTCTATATCTGAGAACTAGTATAAAGAGGAGGCTATTAAGCTAATATTAGCTTAACTCTTATTAGTAGAGTTATAGTTAAAGTCTAAAAGTTTTATTACTATTCTATAGTATAGGCTAGCTATATCTATATTTTATAGCTATTCTAAGGGGGAGGGGATAGATATTAATAGGTCTTTTTCTTTAGGTCTTTATAACTTATTATATTATAATATTTTAAAAAGTTTAGTACTTTTATAGTAGTATTTAGGCCTATTAGCTTTTACTATAACTTAAAGTTTATTATTAACTACCTTAAGTCTTAATAAGTACTTAAGGTTATTATTATAGTGAGGTGCTTTATAGTTAGTGTATTACTCTAGGGTAGTATATTTATTATTATTAATATATTTTAGCTTCCTATAGTAGCTATATAGCTATATATACTTATAATCCTTATAGTAGTATTAGTTAAAGTAAGTTGTATATTACTTTAGTATAAAGTATTATTTTATCTTTTCTGCGAGGGTAGAGCTAAAAGCTTTAAAAGGGGAGACTTCTTTTTTAAATATAATAATCTAAGTTTATTTTTCTAGATGTTTAATATCTTTTATAGAGAAGTATTAAATTAGTTCTTATTTTATTATAGTATATATCTTATTATATATTAAATCTTTTATTAACTTATATTAGTTAGTATAGTAATTATATATTATCTTCTTAACTTTATAGAGGGTGTATATAGCTTAAATTATAGATTCCTTAATACTTATTATATTAAGTAATTCTAAAAACTTATTATTATAAGTAAGTATAGTTAATCTAATTTATTTATTTATTAGTATAACTATAAAACTAAATAGAATCTAAGTAATCTTTTTAATATCTAAGATATTAATATTATAACCTTTTATAAGTTTTCTATAGAGTATTATAATATTAACCTTTTTAGACCTATTAGATTTTTTATACTAGATAAAAACTTAGTAATTTCTATTAGAGTATTATAGCCTTTTAGTTCCTTTTTAAGGGCTACTTAGGTGAGTTATAGTTTCTTAATCTAACGCCTTTATATAGCTCTAGTTAAAATAGAAGCTATTACTAACTGCTCTAATATAGCTACTAGGGGGGATAAAGGTGTTATTAAAGCTATCTTATATAATATCTTAAGGGGAGTTATAATTTAGGTAAAGGTAACTATTTTATCTATTTAGAAGGTAAAGAAATATCTATTTAAAGGGCTATATAAAATATCTTATAGCTTTAGTATTACTTAGATTAATAAGGAGTTTATTAATAATAGCCTCTAATATTTTAAAAATTTTATTATTAACTTTATATTATTAATAGTAAAGCTTTTTAATCTTAGTTATATTAAAAATTAGGTTAGTTATATTATATTAAATTTATTATTATTAGCTTATATTAAGCGTATTAAAGTTAGGCTAGCTTACTCTTATAAGCTAATTTACTTCTAGTAAATCCTCTATATATTGCTTCTTAGTTAGAGAGCACTTTTTAGTGACTTTAGATCTTATAATAAAGAGTATTACCTTTACTAGTAATTAGAAAGGTATTAATAGAGGATCAAGGAGATTAAGCGCCAGCAGGGCGGTCGTACTATAGGTAGCTACTATACTAGATACGTTAAAGTAGCTGAAATAAGGGTATTAAGGATATTAGTGGAGGGTGGTGGCATGCGCTAACAGCGCTTGCTAAGAGAAGTATATAAGAAGGAGAGTTGCTTTTCGCGCGGTTGAAGTGTCTGATCGCCTGCTCTCCATTGTAACCGGCAATTGGTCTGTTTGGAAAGGACATCTTCGCGCACACATGCGGTGGTTTAATCAAGCATGTGAGGACGCAAAAGAGGCAGAGTCGAAAGGCGAGAAGCCTGATCTAATGCTGTGGTCCGAACTTCTTCAGCCAGACAAACCTGACTCGGCGCTATCATTAATAATGCATGATCGAAAACGCATCTGGTCAATGTGTGAGGAAATCACACGGCAATATGTGGCAAAGTGGAAACGGGAAGAGAGCGAGTGGTATCAAAACCGCACCGCCACCTCAATCATCAACGCTTCCCATTGCCATCAACTTGTTTCTGTTCAGGGTAACAGTGCAAGCAAAAGCAAAGATCTCCGTGCCGTCCCGTGTATCCAATCAAGCGACGATTTTCATCGACGACGGACAATCCAGGCATACTTTGACATCAACTTCGGCTGATAGGACTATCGTACCAGCCATGTGGCGAACCGCCGAGGTTTTTCGGCCGTTCTAGGCTCGAAGGTCTTGAAGAAACCACTTTTAGTGCTAGTCAAACAGAGCCAAACCAGTACGCTGGGATCTACAAGGAATTAGTTCGCCTAGGTGACAAAGACTCTCCTCTTCGAAAGGCAGTAGGTCAAGTCAACCCGGGCCAGGGTATCATTGGATTTGTACTGCACATGACGTGTACTGAAGGTAATACGTTTTCGCTCAAGGTCACCGATTTTCGGCACATCACACTCCCCAACTTTTTCCCTATTTACATCAGGTGGGTCACCGTAAGTAACCCGAGTTACTTTGTAGATACGCTCTGCAGCGTTTCTGCAACTAGATAGATGTACACCAGAATATTGCGTCCTACGTACGCTTTCAAGCTTTGCTAATCATGTTTAGGCTATCTTTGATGACGGAGAACGCTTGGTTCTTGGCAGCATGGGTGAGGCAGGTGCCCGAAGGCGGGTCTGTCAAAGAGCTCTACTTCCCAGCCATTCCGAGTTGGCATTCTAGGCCAGACTATCATACGATTGTCCGCTTAACTCGACAACAAAATGCTAATGATGGTCACAGGGCGAGACAGGACAAGAAGAGATCTCGCGTCTAGGCCTTCTCCGGGCCCCTTTCGAAAGCAAGCAGAGCCTGAAAAGTGCAAACGAAGAGGCTCCGAATCACAGTATACTTGCGAAACATCTCTGGGAAGAAAATTCGGCAGTCCTTCAGGGACGTTGGATCTGCCAGTGCGATGACTGGCTGACGCTCGACGCTCTGGAGGACCGCGGCATAGCGTCGCACAGTTTTAACCACGATGTTATCCCAAAAGAAGCAATTGTCTGGAGCAAACGGGCTGGAGATAATTCACTCAAGAGGATTTCTGCATGGATAGTGGATGCTGGAGATATTTCTCCAGACCCGAACGATGAGCGCAGACATAAAATGGGGGAACCGATGTATTGTTTATACGGTTTGCGGGCAGAATTTCAATCGGAATCTCCGAAAACCATTAGAATGACTGAAATCAACGGAAAGTCATGGCCTGAAGAAGAGATTGTCCACTTCGGCATTGATTGCAGGCAGCAGGGAAAAGTCGTTGAAGTTGGCGCGTTCGCCGATTTCGGTCATCGGCCTACTTTCTACGTAAGTCACAGCTAAGGAGTTGTATGGTTCGCATGAGACAGAGGCTAACATTTTCGACCCAGGTTAGGACAAATCACGGCCGGAAAAGCGATTCACAAGCAACCATGATGTTTTTATAAGCTGTGATTTCAAAGTACCAATCGTACCGAGAGGTGAGAGTATTCTTGGTGTAGTGATGGTCTGGGTGGACCACAAGCTGTAGCTGTGACGGAAACGACCAGACAAATCCGCTGGTCAATGAGCTGCGAGCTGTGAGTAGACAACACTGCCCTTTATCATGATGTTGCCACGTGGGCGTGCACATCTTCCTGTCCTGAGAAAGCTGACTCCATACGGCAATTTTATGCGAGCGTGACTTCTCTCGGCGTTCTTTCAAATACTTGGAATCATTCAGAGGAAGAAGATTCAGGGGAGAAACTGGAAGACGAAAGCGCTGCCACCAGTCCCGAAGGAGCTACTGCTGTTTAGGTGAAGCATAGATTGCCCCGGTGGCATACCACAAGAGCTATCACAGGTTATGAAATGTTTTAATTCCCAGTTGTCAATCTTACGTGCTCATTGACATGATAAGCATGACCAGGGAAAGAAGAATCCATCAGGTCTGCAAGTAGATCGCCCATAAATTTCAAGTTCGGAGGGAATTCCGGCAACAGCGACAACAGAAGTATATGAAAGACGAAGACGAAGCAGAAGACATTGAGTTCGAGGACGACATGTACGACCGGTCAATTTGCTCAATTAAGGCCGATTCTCATTGCTTTCAGCTTTCAGTTGTTCATGGCATCGCAACCCGGCGATTCCGAGTTTCGGGCGGTACGTTGACCTTTCCTCGCATGTTCCACGGCGTTCACAGTTTCCCATTTAACGGACGCCATACTGACACATTTGATGTACCCAACAGTCTTTCGCTGGAATGTCTCACATCGGAGCATCGGAGCTCTGTCAAGCTTCCTTGAGGAGGACGGTGCGAATGAAGACGAAGCGAGAGAACAGGGTGCTGAGAGAGATCGCGATGATGAGGACGATGAAGATCATGACCGAGACGAAAATCTCGAAGAACCGGATGAGGGCTAGACTTGAGATTGCCTACCTTAATCAGAGTGCGACGGCAGTTGCGTACATGTATGGAGCGTATATCAGGATCTCATCACAACTGTGAATAAGTTGACATCATTCTAGTTCATTGAGAACCCCGAATGAGGCCAATAGTCTTCGCAAACACGTAGTATCAGAAGCAGTGCGGTCTGAGGCGAACTCATGTTATTATCTTAGTGTCGCTGATCAATGCTCAAAACGCTCCAACAATCATGACCCAGTATGTCTGCAGCAGCTACGCAGTCCCTCGGTGCAATCTTGGACCACATCTTCTCTTAGACCCTTAGCAGTAACCTACTCTGCGCAGAGAGTAGCCGTCGGGGATTCTTTGGCTGCCAGAGAAGCTCAGGCCACAGTTGTTGTTGGCGTTGACAGTGTATCCTGCACGCGTGGTGGAGTCGTAGATGTTGGCGTAGTAGTTCATCTGAACGCAGCCGCTGCCGACTACGGCCTGGTTGATGTTGAGAAGTTCAACCTGGCATCCGGCAGCGGCGGCGAGGCCGGTGTAAGAAGCCAGAAGACAGACGGCCACGGTAAACTTCATTTCTAACAGAATATTAGGTCCTGGAGAGACTGTTGAGTGGTATCTTAAAGTGCCTTACTGCTAGTCTGAGGGGTTCTCTCTTGAAATTGTGAGTAAATGTCGAGGTATGGTTCCAGAACAATGCTACTGGAGAGGAGTTGGGTTGTTTTTATACACGTTCTAGACCATGCAACTGCTCTTGGTCGGGAAGCAGCCGGATCACCCGTTCAATTCGATGCTTGGGCGACTCCATTATCTCCACACGATTAGCTGTTCTCAGATGACTCGAGATTGTTCGTATCCAAGAGGGTCAGGCAAGGCGGTATCCCACAGGGGTTGGCGGCCCCAGAAGTGGAACCAAGCAAACAATCATTCAAAAGACTGCTGCTTTCATTGTTTCCCCCCAACTTCAGTGTCCAATAAGCCTACCAGTCGCATCAATTGGCTTCGGAATCTGGGTAGCGTTGATCAAGACTTATATCGTATCCATGGTGATGTCACGTACGGCCTGCTCGCCGATGTAGACAACAACCATTGAGGTCGGACTGAGCCCGAGAGCACGAGTCTAGAACATCCTTGCAAACTCTAATAGAATAAATTATCCCCCATCGTCCATAAACAAGAGAATGCCTGACTCGAGCACGGATCCGGAGTACCGTGAAATAATGAAATGGCTTATGCATAGGTAGTTGCGGTAAATAAGATCACTGGATTCTTCGTTGTGTTTAGCGGTGTCTAAAAGAGCAGACTTTGAGGCGAGAGTGACAGCAGTTTGAACAAATTTGCGGCTTGATTTATGAAGATACCATGTTTTCTTTTTTTTTGTACACTTCAATCAACAATCTCGACTGTGCGAATTGTGACAACTCGGCAAATGTACATGATTTGCAAGGTTATCCCTTTCCCGGTAGCGCAGGATCGACACAGGTTTGCTGTCATGGCCGCTCAATCTCGACTCTAACAAATAAGCTTACTAGTCCGAGCAAAAGTCAAATAGACTGAGAGATAGCTGGTAAGAAGTATCATTTATTTGTGATCGCAATCATCAGGTCAGTTGCCAGCGTGTTGCCTTCATATTGCTATGGTGGCATGTGAATTCCTTTCGAGCGTCAATAGAGCAACCGGTCGTACTCACATAACCGAAAGATATGTGCCCATCCCATCGACTGTGAGTGGACGGCAGAACAAAGAGGTCCCCGCTTTCACCATTTCTGCTCAGATTCCCCTTGACTATAGCAACCGCTATTAGGTAGGAGAAATAAAAATCTTGTTTTAATTGGCTCAAACACCTCAGATCTTGTACTGTGTTCCCTACGCAGTCGCTGAAAAATACCATATTGACTCAATTACTTCTTGCGTATCACCGCATATAAAGCTTCTGTTAAAATACCTAGAACTCTAGTCTATCCTTTAAGTGTTATCAGGTGCACTGTCTCATGTGCCCGTTCTATAATCGTAATCCATGGGAAAAGTGCTCCATCCGTCAAAACATTCAATAGCTAAGGATAGGTTGTGTAGCTTCTTTAGTGGCCCAGCTTACAAAGCTGCGTGAAAGAGCTTCTCCAAGCGGACACCCTCGGTGTCAGCAACCTCAGTGTATATTCTAGGGCCGAAATGAGGGTGGTAGGGGTACGGGCTACAAGACATGTTAGTGTTTGACAGGGCTTGAAACATCATAGCTAGGATCTTAGCTCACCCATATTCCGGAGTAAAGGTAACTTGGAAATCATCGCCCCTCGTCTTTACGGCATTTTGAACAATCTTGACCCACAGCTTCTCAAAGAACTCCCTCTCCTCATTGTAAATTGGGTTTGAAGGATCGGGGCATTGTGATGATTGAGTTGTACCAATGCGAGCGTGAATGTGGTGAACCTGCAGATAAAAGGTTAGTCTCATGCTTCAATGCATCACGAAAAGTCAGTGAGAGTCTCTTTCTCGAGCACTTACGTGAGGTATGACGGATTCGAGAACAGCGATATCCTCCTCGGACACATCCAAGAGTCTTTCGCCAACGACAACCCAGTGGGAGATGTCCGCGGTGATTCGAAGGCTTCAAAAGAATTAGCCCAGCCCGTTTTCGAAAACCCAGCAGTTTCTATATATGGCAACCTACTTGGGAACGCGATCCAAAACGTATTTAGCAACGTAAGGATGGTAAAGGGAACGGTTTCTGTGTGTCTCGTGGGTGACCTTCCCAGCGAAGCCCAGCTCCTCGTCGATCTTGAAAGTCCCTTGATAAAACTCAACCGACTGATCCGGTGTCCAGATATCGCTGTGCGACAACGTGTCAGCTACGCGAAGAACATGGTTCGCATGTCAAACTAGTACGAACCTTCCAGACTGCGCGTTGACCTTGACAGGCTTCAAAACCTTGGCGCGCTCAAGCTGCTTGCGATAGAAATCGAGGTGGTCTTTGGGGGTCAGCCCTGGGGGTCTCGGTCCTTCGTATCCAGGCCACGAAGACATGATTCTACGCGAACAATGTCAGGCGCATTCGTAATTTACCAAGCACAGAAATGGTCGGCGTGAACTGTAGGTGACATACTGTGCGATGAACTGGAGACCAGACTCATCCAGAAGTTTTCTCAACTCGGGGAGATCCTCGGTCTTCACAGCTCTGTAGTCGATTTCAACTCCGGCTATTGGGCAATTAGGGTAAGCTTCCCTTCCGAATATCTTTACTGGAAGTCTTGACTAACTGTAGCCCTTGGCCTTGAGCTCTGGAAATAGCTGTCTCCATGTTGCGAAGTTATCGCCTGGGGGAATGCCCCAAGTTGTGCGGAAACGAGTGATGTTCGGCATGGTGGTTATTGTTTCGGTGGTGTAAATCAGAGCGATGACTTCTTGAGAAAAGGAGAAGGAGGAGGGCGACGGTCCACCGGTTACCGATGGAGGGGTAAACAACCAGGTTTTTAAACGCAACCTTGAATTTCTGACGCTGGGGAAAGCTCTCCATGTCCATAGCTCCCCCGCGATTCGATACCCCGCGAAAGTGTCGAGCTTGAATTCCCATCTATAGCCAGCCAATAAGATGACGGCAATTGAACAAAAAAAGACCCAGGCGTGGACCCCGAACATGGACCGAGACCCGCCGAGTCAGCGGCGCGTCTCCGGGGACAGCTTCGTGTCTAGAATGGATAAGTCCGGCGAATTGTTACCTTGTTGGTCATACTCGCGACTGAGAGCTGAGACAGATGTCCACAAAACGGCGCAAAAGCACGTGGGACGTCAGAGTATATGACAATGGCATCATGTTGATTCCGCGGGTTCAGGATGGACGATCCACTTTGATTCTCAAAAAGGAAATTATCACCTCGGAATCCGGGGAACGACGGGGAAATGTGGGTACTTGGCCTGCCTGTTCCCCGAACATAGATTACCCAAAGTGAGGAGTTTAGGAAAGACACCACACCTTTTTGATCTTGCTCGACGACAAATCCTATGTTTAACTCATTTCCAGTTGAAAGATGAAAGCCAGTTCAAAGGATTGAGTGACTCCAGTCTTAGAAGACATCAGGAAGTTCCATTGTGAGATGATGCGCATGTCGGCGCGAATCCAATTGCATCAGTACCACAAATATGCCGGCTGCATCTCTGCGACTGATGGCGATGGCTTGCAAATCATAGCTTTAATGGTTGATAAAGAGATATGTCGTGGTCTTTCGGTTGAAGACCACTATGAAAAACCCCAACTCGAACGAAGCTGATTGTCTTCTGCCTGCCCTAAGCTAGACACGTCACACAAGATGCTGGTGAAGGCTTCCGCAGCGAGGAGAACCATGCGAAAGGTCTTACTCTCCACGGAAAATCGCATCAGTCTTTTGGACATTATTTTCGAAGATGAAGAACTCCGGAACGCTAAGGCATTCTGCGAATACGATCTCCGTGCAACGTCCTGCTAGTCGATCATAAACTGAATGCATGTCTTCGCAGTCCTCGGGCGTTCAGCCTTGCGCAAATTGCCATTAAACTCTAGTTGACCCACAACCTTACAAGATATCTGATATGATATGCATATAATGCTGACTTGGATTTGGTGGATGTGGGGTGAGAAGGCAGAAAGAACCTCAAGATCTGCTTGGGAGTACGCTCCGGTAGTAATGAACAATTCACCTGATGCCCGACAAAGGTATTTTCCAGAGCTGACCCAAATTATAGGAAACAAATTGAGCTATGTTCCGATGGCAGCACGCAATGAACGCCGCTCTTAATCTGCCTTGCGCTGGGAAGGTTCACTTCCACACTTCCACACTCGCACTGAATTATGGGGGTTAACCAAGTCCAGTGAGGGTCTTAGCATAGGTGATTAACGCATCTCGCCGTAATTTGAGCTGCTCGGAAAGTCCCGGTCATGCTGACTGTGCGTTGACCTTCAATTTGCTTAGCAAGACTCGCCGTCTGGTTTAGTGGCTTTTAGCACTGTCTCACTAGTCAACGCCTTTCCCCTCACTCTTGTTGCCTCCCCCTTCTGGGGATCTTGAGATCGAAATGTACCTAATGAGACATGCAGTGAAATGCAAATTCCAAGAAAAGACGACCTAGTCTCTTGTCTTGGCGATTGGAATATTTTGGCTTTCATTCAATCAAAATTCAGCCATCTTTCATATGTGATGATCGACGTCTTGATTTTGAGATATCTTCTGAACAGGGATTTGCTGGGTAATCATCTTCAGTTTCTTGTGTGCAAGAACAGGATGAATTTGTCGGATGTCGGCTCAGTGTTGCACTTGCTCTGCAAGAATTAGAGCTCTTCAGTCTGGTTTATGCTAAGCTTCAGACTTAAAAGCTCAGACCTAGATGTCTCCTGGTGTCATTTAAGCGCGACGCCTGCCATCCCATGGATGGGTAAGCAAGACATAGGGTCCGTTCGCCCAGTCGGAGCAGCACTAGGCAACATCCCAGACCTCGAAAAGGAGAACATAGTTGATGCTCCGGGTTGAACGTCTCAATGTAGTCATCATTTGCTTAAAAGCATCCAAGATGAAACAACGATTGCCAATTGCCTTATTTCTCATTTGGACAAAACGCCCCCTCAAGTCGGAGAATTTGAAGCCGGCCGTCCTTCGAAACAGCCAAAGATGCTCTTTTTAGGTTTTTGCCGTCAGGAGGATCTGAGGTAAGTGACATGAGGAGACACGGGAGTTCTGTCTTCAGCCACATGAACTTGCAGCAATCAAATCCCAAATCTCGGGGGCGATCCTTCGTGGATTCTCCTGGTCTAGAACTCGTTGATACAAGCTTGGGTTGCGGGGGCTTGTCTCCACCACCCGCACCACCCTTAGACGCCGCTTCGATCATCCCGTCGGCGGGGTCCCTCTTCAACGCCCAAGACCACTTTTTAGACATGAGCAGCATCTACCAGACACCCAACCTCCTCACTACTGTTCTGACTTGTTCAAGTCCGGAATAGTCAGTCGTTCTCGCCACTGAAGCGTCCACTTCGACCAGAGATTTGGGTCATAGGAGCTACCCGAGGTACCCGTCCTCATGACTCTATTTTGAGAGGGTAACCTTGGACCATGATGTTTCGGCGTAATTTGTTTGATTTCTCGTCGAAGCCATCGAAGAGGTCCATGGGTTTTGACAAATCCTTGGTCAGATCATTCGGCCCGCGGTGGTCATCACCAAGAAGCTCCAGATATATAAGACGAAGATTTCACCCGCCAAGATGTTCCTTTCTCTCTCACCATCCCATCACATTCCACCACATCCATTCATTCTTCACCACTCTGAAGCAAGTCTTCACTTTCGTTCTCGAACTCAGCTCTTCATTCATTCATTCACTCACTCAAATTCCAACTACTTCCAATCTTTCAACAGACCACTCAGAGTCATCTTAACACTCTTTCAAAATGAAGGGAACTATTTTCGCTACTGCTCTCATTGCCTTCTCGGCCAGTGCCTTTGCCCACGGCGGAGACTACGACACTCCCACTCAGACCACTCCTTCTGGCGGTCAATCCGGCGGTAGCCAGTCTGGCGGCGGCCTCCCCATCAACATCCCTGGCGTCGGTGGCAGCGGCAGCAGCGGCGGCATCGGCGGCCTCCTTGGAGGCGGCGGCGGCAAGGGCAGTGGTGGTGCCAAGGGCAGCGGTGGCGGCAAGGCTGGCGGCGGTCTCGGCGGCGGCCTCGGTGGACTGCTCGGAGGTGGCGGCAAGGGCACCAGCGACGGTGGCATCGGAGGCATCCTTGGCGGCAGCGGCAGTGGTGGCGGCAAGGGCACCAGCGATGGTGGCATTGGCAGCATCCTTGGCGGCGGCGGCAAGGGCAACATCATCGGCGGCGGCGGTGCTGGGGGCGGCATCGGCAGCATCCTCGGCGGCGGTGGCAAGAGCGGCGGCGACGCTGAGGGCGGCATTGGCAGCATTCTCGGTGGCGGCAAGGCCGGTGGTGATGGCAAGGCCGCCGGTGGCCTTGGTGGTATCATTCCTACTGGTCTCCCTGGCGGCGGCGAGGGCGGAATCGGAGCCATCCTTGGCGGCAGTGAAAAGGGCAGCGTTGTTCCCACTGGCATCCTCGGCGGTGGAGGTGAGGGAGGCATTGGTGGGCTTCTCGGTGGTGGCGGCAGCGGCGGCGGCGGCGGCAGCTACGGCGGCAGCGAAAAGGGTGGCATCAATGGCATTCTCCCCACCGGCCTCCCCGTCGGTGGTGCGGGTGGCATTGGTGGGCTCCTCGGAGGAGGTGGTAACGGCGGAGGCAGCGGTGGCATCGGTGCCATCATCCCGACTGCTCTCCCGATCCCGGGCATCGGAGGCGGCAACAAGGCGGGCGGCGATGACGCTCCCTCCACCTTCGAGACCCGTGTCCGCACCACCACTGCTAGCGACGATGGCCCCAGCACTGCTGAGCCTGAGACTGCTGAGCCTACCCCGGCTCCTTACTAAGTAGTGTGAGGCTTTTCCCTATGTCACAAACAGATTCTTGTACCAAGATTGGTAAATGATACTTTTGCAAACTATGAACATTCTGGCATATCACCATGTCCCAAACTGAAGTTGTCTGTGCCCAAACAAGCTCACAAATAATCAAGCATCCATGACCGGCACCCCTTCGTTGGCTTCCTCTGCGAACTCTGATTCGTTCTCCCATTGCGTACTCTCCTGATCGTCGCCACCTCCAGCCGAAAGTGAACTACCGCTGTTGCTCTGAGGTCTGGCAGAGGGTGTGGGAGGCCGAATTGCGAGGCCGCTGATAGATATAATGTCACTATCTTCATCCGTCTGCACCAAACCTGGGGGCCGAGTCGTGGAAGTCAGAGAGTCATGGGTTCTGCCCACAGGCCTTCTCTCTTCTAATGTGGTCTTGACATCATCTCGGATTCTCTCGGTGATCTGTTGGAGCAACCGCAGTTTCTTTGGGTCGGGACCAGTCTCTGAATCTTGGCTCTCCAAGAGCCCTGGAAGACGCCAGTTGGGATAGAGATTGAAATGAGGCTTCCTCACCGACACCTTATCCGGATGCAAGTCGAAGTAGTAGTGGCAGAGCTTGCAGGTAGGTTTACTGCTTCCGATGTACTTCCAACTGTTCCAATACTCGCGGGGATGCTGCAGACCCTTTTCCAACAGATAATCGTGAACCTGGATTTCGGCATGGACTCGAGGCTTGAACGACCGCTTGCTGATTTGCGCATAGATGATGTCATTAACCCCAAACCTTTGCATTTCGAGGGCCTTCTCCAGGAAGTCCTCCTTCTCCTCGTCATCTTCTGAAATCATGTTGTGGACAATTGAAACTGCTGTGAAGGATCGAGACTTCCCGATTGGCTTTGGCCCCGGAGTGCTCGAAGAAACCGAGGTTATGTTAAACGATTTCAACATGTTCGGGTCGCGATCGTTTGCATCAACTATCACGTTGGCTGCCTGTCGGAATGACAATACTCGTCCAAGATAATGGCGAAGTTCACACCAAGATTCAGAAGAATTGATGGACCCATCCTTGGCGTGGTCTTTGATAGCAACCTCGATTGGACTGCTCTTGATGGCAACAACGCCCTTGATGAGTTTCTCGCAGTCGCTCAAAACTGTTGAACGCGTCAGTCTGATAGAACCGAGATTTCTGGTGTACCTGCAATGACTCACTCTTGTCTTGCACTGCACCTGAGTCTCGGGGGAAATCTGCCTTCTCCCTCAGCTTCTCAAGCTCCGATTTGAGGGCTAGTAACCAGTCAGCAACAGAATGACCCAAGGGGATTTGCCGAGGATAGACCTACTCCCAGTCAACTGCCGCCTGTCGCAATCAGCGATGCACTTGTTGAGATACTTGATGAGTTTGTTCAAGTAGTCATTCAAGCGAAGCATATTGAAATGCAAGATCTTCCAAAGCACCTGCTTGGTGAGTGGCTTGGGCTTCAGGCCAGCTGGGTTCTGTCCCACCAGAGTCAGAAGACTGTGAACGAAGTCACGGGTCTCGGCCAGTTCATCCTCGGTTCTCTCGTTGGAAGCGAAGACAAACTCCGTGTGGTCACTGCCGTTGAGAACAGCCACGGCAGTAACCATCTTACCACCACGTTCGTTATCGCAGACCTGAGCCAGCTTGTCAACGAAGCAATGAAAGGCTTGTTTCTGAGACGTGAGAGAATCGTTCTCCATGATGGGTGTCTCATTGAAGACCTCCCGACCGCCCCGACAGGCGATCTGGAGAGCATACTCGAGAACGACTGGCTCATAGAAAAGTCGCTGGTGGTCAACAGCAACAGGCTGCACAGCCAAGCTCGGAGTCTGAGACATGATCGATGGATTTTAGGACAGTTTCAAGATGACAGAGTTAAACTGAGGGCTCCTCGGGCGCAGTAGTGTGCAAATAGATAACGAGAAAAGGCCAGAATTTCGATGAAGAAATGAACTTTTAGGCAGGGTTTCGTCGTCGACAATCCAACAGAAGATGGTGGGTTTGATCAGACAAGGAAGATACTCAGCTCAGACTGAGGCCTGGGCTTTTAAGTCCAAAATGCTGGCCTCTGTGATAGAGAAGTCCAACACAGCCGACGTCAGACATGTTTTTTTGACAGTGCTCAAAAGTGGAAAGTCCTCCCGACACTGCGTGTTTTTCCACTTCTGCCGTGGGATCACCAACGTCGATTCTACTCGCATATCCAGATTTCCACCCGTCAAAACTCCAACTTGGAGGGAACCACTAATTAACCAATGACATGCTCCAATTGAAGGGTGCCTAGCTGTCTGGCCCAAAATTTGGCCCTGATTATGCGGCGCAAAGCCACGCCGCCTCTGGATACATCACCAACATGGCCGGTCAGGTCGCCATGCAGCACAGCCCGTATCAGCCAACATGGCTGCATGTTGACCGGCCAGCAAGCAAATGGAACGATCTGCGTACTTGGACTCATTGATTCTGCGATAGTACTGGATGTTCGCGTCCACAGCCGTCATTCAGGAATCTGCAATGCATGCGGGCATGTCGTCGGGGCCAACCAGCGTGAGAAACGACACCGAGAAAAAGAAATGTTATACTTTGCCATCCAACACAGATGCAAGCCCGTTTTCCAATCGCCCACTCACACCGTCCGTAACTCCACGATGTCACCACAGCATGCTAATCAGGCTTTTGATGTCGCGCGGAGTGCTCGGGGTCTGCACGTCCAGAAGCTGAGTCGTCGGGGGCCAGGCAGAGAGCGGCACAAGAGCTCAACTTGGTTCTATCCCCGGTCGTTTTGGAGGCCACCTTTTTCCATTTACCTCACCGTTGGTTGCATTGTGTCGTAGCAAGATCTCTTTGTACCTCTGGGTCGGCCAAGATCCCGCCTCTGACGTCCCATTAATACACCTGCCTTCCGGCCTCCACCATTTCTAGCTGCTGTTAGAGTTCTGACTCAAGCATTACTCGCATACCCGAGAAAACCTCTGACTGCTTCTTTGCCTTGGATATTGATCGGATTCGAAAGTAGGTGGTCATGGACCGGGGGTTCGACCACATCTTTCGAGCTGGGGCCCAAGATCCTTTCTTGTGGTCTGGTGAAGAGAACGATGAGAGTGATCTCGGGTAAAAACTGATCCTAGCTTCATTCGGGAGGGAGACTGACATCTTTCAGACCCTTTATATACCCAAACACCACTCTGGATGGTGAGACGGTGAACCCGGTGTCGTTGCACTCCTCAGATATCACCTCAACCCCAGTTCTTGAGACTGGCGTGTACCCGCGTCTGTAGACGCCGGGGGACTCTTCAGTTTCAGGAGACAGTGGTTCGAGAGATTCTGAGGAGCCTGTGACACCTCCTCATCGAGAAGAGAGCCAGCCTGTTCAGGGGAAGACCTATCGCACCAAACGAAGCAAAGGGCCGGTGTTTTGCACCCCTTGTGGCCTTCGCTTCCCTAGGAACACAGAGCTAAAGTAAAATTGCCCTTCATCTACATGCTCTCCCAAAACTGGCTCATTCGTCCGTCTTCTCAGCAAGCATAACAAAAGACTTCACGACAAACCCAGAATACCTTGCCCGGTTCCAGGGTGCCACATTCAGTTCTTTTCGGACAACAAGAAGATGTACCGACATGTTCGGAGTGCTCACCCTGTGTATGCTGCGAATCCCAAGAACAATATTCCAAGCGATGGCGGACCATGTCCGTTTCTTGGCTGTGTCAAAAAATGCACCCGTCGAGACAATCTCATGCGCCATATCAGAGAGAAGCACCAACACATAGGTAGGGGTAAGGGGGTTCTTAGAAATCTGTAGCTAAATGTACAAGGCCTGCCAATGTGTTCCAAGGTCTTGGATGACCACGATCAGCTACTTACGTGCTCTTAAAACATGTTGACAATTTTGAAAGCCCCAGAAATTTGCTATTCGATTGAACGCTGTTAGCTATCCAGACGTGTGGTAATCATAGTAGATAACAGACACATTATGACACGTACGATGGCGGAGATGATTTAATACGGACAGAGAAGATTCAATACGTAAAGGGAAGCTGACTCTATCTGGTCAACTGAAGTTATCCGCCCAGGTAGCAGAACTCAGACTATTACCTACCTGAGGATCAACCTGAGACCCCTGACCAATGCCAACGCCACAAAGCTTCCGACAGCTTTAGGCTTTTGGTCTTTACTGAGGGCTTTAAAAAGATCCAGGTTGCTTGTTGCCACCGTGTGAGCGCCCTTGATTTTGGGAGGTCATAGCCAGAGATCTGAGGAGAAGAATGGATGTATGTTGGCAGTCTGGTCAACCCGTATAAGTAGGTATCGCAGTTCACTCTATACTTTTTTTTCCCTGTACTTTAAACTCACGTCATTCTTAGCTGAGGTATGTTGAGGCCTGCTCTCCATCTGTTTTCCCTCTATTTGTTTGCACACTGACTTTCTTCGGCAGGTAATTTGGGTTTCCGTCACAGCGACGTGGGGTCTGACCAGACTACTCGAAGTTCGCGGGAGCTCATCACTTGAGGAGAACACGTGGACTTTCGGGCAGGTGGCCGCTGTAGTTTTACTTGCCAGCCCTCTGTTTGTTTTGTTAGAAAGCCTCCCCAATCTTTGTGAGTTTAGAAAAAGTCTTTCACATTTTATCCAATGGCTTTCCATCTTGTCGACGCCCTTTTTTCGGTATGAAGCAAAGCAGAGACCTAACGGGGATAAAACCATACAGATCAATCTTTCCGCGACCTAAACCTAGGTAAACTTCAAAATATTCAATCAAAGATGACACAACGCCATGTAGATCATCTAGATGTTCTACTTAATCCCACACTATCTTGGTGTCTCTCAACAACTCGAATTGTTACAATTCTTCACGCTTCCTTCACCATTATACTAGTCGCTATGCTGTTTATTCTGTCTGCCGGCGGGAAGATGACTTTGTCAGAACAGCTCAGCCTGGTTGTTCCATTCTATGGCTTATACCAGCCTGTGTTATCAGTTGGCATATTATTACTATGGCTTTGAAATGGAGGGTTGGGGGGCAGTTCCAGCCCGAGGGGAGCTTCCTTTCTTTCCCTATCTTCTACTGTCAGCCGGAATAGTGGGCGTATCTACTGCATGCTTATGCCAGATGATTTACGCTGTGTTTATATATACTTGGAGCGGTTTAGGTTGGGCAAGCCTAGGGTTTTCCTACGTTGTCACTAGTATCTTTTCGTTATGCTCTAGAGAGCGCAGATGTGCAGAGCAGGATCTAGCTAGGACCAGGAGTCCATGAACATCCCTAGGCCAGGAGCAGTCGTAAAGCTTATCTGCACTGGGATTTCGACGTTTCTAGCAATTTGTTTTGACCTTTGGTCGAGTTTCTCACATGCGTCCTTGTTTTAGAAGCATTAGAAGCACTCAGTTTAGCTAAGGAGAATTACACAATGTCCAGCAAATGATCAAGGCTAACAATCTTCAAATCCTAGAGTCGAGGTAAAGCCAATTCTGATCAGCAGGGGGACATCCTCTACACTTGCGGAAGAAAACGTTGAAAGACCTTCGATTAAGACTCTCGGAGAAGCCTTCTATTTACTCTTTTTGGAGATAGAGATAAAAGCCTAGTGACTATTAGCTAAAACAGCAAAACTCGGAACCTTCGCCAAGGCGCACCAGATCAACCGAGCAAGAGCGAGGTCCTGTGAAAGCTGTCGGCATCGACGGCCCACCAGCCCCATGCGCAATGGCATGACAGTGGCGTGCCACGAAGTTTTAGGTGACCACGGAGCATATGGCAGTGAATTTCGAGGGGTCGCTTCCCCGGATCGGCGGGTTCCCCTGCAGGCGTCCCAAGGCGGCTGCTTTCTTTGCGGGAGAGGGTTCCGAAAGCCAAGTCACTGTTCGGGTAGGACAGGAACATAAATATGGCAGCGGTCCCCTTTGAACTACGGATTCAAGAGTTGGAGTATGCATGTCATCGGCATCGATACAGCTTCCAGTTCTTGGAAACAAACACCATCGAATCGTCCCGAACCGCGAGTTCCCGAGCACACCACCAGTCCAAACACGAATCCTACGATACGTTGAGCCGATGGTAGCCCCTCTACTTCTCCCATGTCAGCATGGCCGATTCACGAGAGACACGAAATCCTCAGAGGATCAAAAGGACGGACACAAGAGGACAAGTACGAAAGAGGACAGGTGGTCTGGGGCCTCAACAGAAAAATAGGGGTTATGGAGCCGGCTAAGACCAACACGAGGGAGCAGCAAAAGTTTGCTGTAACACATGACGGCTGGGCTGTTCTCAAAACAACGTGACTGTTGGAGATGAACTCGACCGAGAAAAGACAGCAGGAGGTGAGAAATGAGCGGTAAGTGAAAACAGCGTGGGAAAATTGGCAGCATGACCCAAGGGATTTTTCATCCATGCTCCGGCGCAGGTGGTGTCCCCCCACTGTCACTGTACAGGCGGTGCAGTGGAGGGCCCCGGATCTCTCTTAGCAACCCACGGCTCACCCCACTGGAACCCAGCTCCCGGATTCAATTGGGAGCTTCCCATTGGGGCGGGTAAAGTGCTGGGTAAATAGAGGCAGGACGCTAAAGCCGGGCCAGTGCCGTTGCGCACCTATCCTGTCGGGCCCGGGGCAGTTGCAGTGGTGCCCCTCCTTCCCTATGACGCGCCCCTCCAAAAAGTTCACGAGACAAGCAACAACGTGGGAGAGAGAAGGAGCTCCCGGGCAGCTTCTTTCCTTCTTTCCAGGTGCGGTTGCCAGGTGCAGTGGCACTGGATCCGCACCTGCCTCCCCCGCCACCCCGCCGCGGCGATAGCTCCTTCCCTCCTCCAAGCCGGCGGAAAGCAGGTGCACCTGCCTGGTCCACGTCCACGTCCACGATGCGACAGGCAAGTGCAAGAGTCGAGACCGGGCGACCGCCGCTTAGCATGGCAGAGTTTGGGAAAGAGGCAGGGAGGCAGGTCCGGCGCAAGGGTAATGTCGTCGATGCGAATTGGAGCATCCCGCTTCTTTTTTTGCCAGACGCGCCTCAATGAGATGAGCAATGGGCAATGAGGGGCACAGCTCGCGGCAGCTGCTGTCACTCACTCACCTCAACACTATCAGCAGCACAAGTCAAGCCAACACCGACACGACACCGACACGACACCGACACCAACGACGGGACACCACCACGCCGGCTGCCGACCGACAATTTTTGTTGTTTTCCACTCCCTTTCTCCCGCCAGATCCCATCCCATCCCGGCGACCAACCTGCTCCGTCTACCCCTCGGGCCCATCTCCATCTCCAGCAAAGTCCCCATTTCTATTCCAGTCTATCGTCCACTCCGCCATCCCTTCCAAGCTCCCCGTCCAATCCCAGTCAGCAGGCGTCGCGAAGCGGGCCAGGGCCGGTGTCATAGCTATTTAATCCATTGCGCGCCGGGCAACCATCTGGACAGCTGTGCCTTGCTCCTCGCTTCTCTCTTTTCATCCCTCGACATTCGTCTTCTGTGTCTCCTCTCCGTGCTTCCCTTACGATACCCCTCCCGTTCTTCGGATTGTGACCTTTGCGACGAATTGTCTAATTAGCTTCTCCCCTCGGTGAAACGACACCCGACCCCTCCAAAACCACAAACTCAGATCCCCAACGACAACTCCTCCCCGCACAACCGTCACAATGGCCGGCACCGAAGGCAAGAGCGTGAGTTCCCCCTTGGCGACAGCCTCAACTTTCAAGACCACAGACACTGACCATTCCAGAACCTTTCCTTCATCCTCAACAAGCCCCACGACGTCGAGTTCGCCGAGCGCCCCGTCCCCAAGCTCTCCGACCCCCACGATGTCCTCGTCGCCGTCAACTACACCGGTATCTGCGGCTCCGACGTCCACTACTGGGAGCACGGCGCCATTGGCCACTTTGTCGTCAAGGACCCCATGGTCCTCGGCCACGAGTCCGCTGGTACCGTTGTCCAGGTTGGCGACGCCGTGAAGACCCTCAAGGCTGGCGACCGCATCGCCCTCGAGCCCGGCTACCCCTGCCGCCGCTGCGAGAACTGCCTGGCCGGCCGCTACAACCTGTGCCCCGAGATGCGCTTCGCCGCTACCCCGCCTTACCACGGCACCCTGACCGGTTTCTGGACCGCCCCCTCCGACTTCTGCTTCAAGCTCCCCGATAATGTCTCCCTGCAGGAGGGTGCTCTCATTGAGCCCCTCGCTGTTGCCGTCCACATTACCAAGCAGGCTGATATCAGCCCCGGCGCCAGCGTCGTCGTCATGGGTGCTGGACCCGTTGGTCTGCTCTGCGCCGCCGTCGCAAAGGCATTCGGTGCCACCAAGGTCGTCAGTGTCGACATTGTCCAGTCCAAGCTGGACTTCGCCAAGGACTTCGCTTCCACCCACACCTACCTCTCCCAGCGCGTCTCCGCCGAGGAGAACGCCAAGGCTTTGATCAAGCAGTGTGATCTCGGTGCCGGTGCCGACGTCGTCATCGACGCCAGCGGTGCTGAGCCCTCCATCCAGACCTCTCTGCACGTTGTCAAGATGGGCGGCAACTACGTCCAGGGCGGTATGGGTAAGGCCGACATCACCTTCCCCATCATGGCCTTGTGCTTGAAGGAGGTTACCGCTCGTGGCAGCTTCCGCTACGGCCCTGGCGACTACAAGCTTGCCATTGACCTTGTCGCCAACGGCAGCGTCAACGTCAAGAAGCTCATCACCGGCATTGTCAGCTTCAAGCAGGCCGAGGAGGCTTTCAAGAAGGTCAAGGAGGGCGAGGTCATCAAGATCCTCATCGCCGGCCCCAACGAGAAGGTCGAGACCGAGCTCAGCACATCTGTCGATCCCAAGAAGGCCGCCGCGAGCGGTGGACAGGGCGGATGCTGCTGAAGATGATATGAAACAAAAGTAAAGGCGAAGTCGGCGTGCGGAAGACGAAAAAGTGGGCGTATGGGCGGTTGGCGATCTATTTCACGGCGCATGCAGCATGTTGGATCTGACTGAGGGGCACGTAACTGGCATATATGATTCAAATGACGATTCATTCTTCTCTCCCATCCTGTCCACAACGGCAATGTCAACGCTCATCATGAACCAGATTGGTCACTCAGCGCCTACAGCCGGGCGTGGTTCGACAATCTACGCCCGGCATGGTTAGCGTCGGCTAATGAAACGCACAGCAGCAAAGATTCTCGGCCGGCAAGCAGACATGCCAGGTTGCAACATTTCAACGAGGCTGTCGATGCCACAGCCCATGCCGACACTAGATAACGGATACTGGCAGACCACTTGCAACGGCGAAGCGACACTGGGTACTCACCATCTCGAGCCCCATTTCCCCATACCAGCTAGTGCCCAAAAGACTCAAAAGAAACGAGAAACTGCGCAAGACTCCGCACTCCCGTTCAGCTGAAGACGCCACACCAGACTAACGGCCACAAGCATCAACTCCAGCTCCCGAATCGGCCTAGCTCGGCGCCCTGGGTTCCACTCATTCCGCCCTCTGTCCCCAGTCCTCGCGGAATATGTCTGATATTTATCAACATGGTCGGCTCTGGCTGCGGTCTAAGACACGAACATCGCAAGTCACAGCACAACATCGCTCTCGCGGACGACTCATCAGCGGGACGCCATCCAGCGCGTGCATGTGCAATGAGAAGACCTACCGGCACCGCAGCCCTGCCAAGACGAACCATGTCAAGCCACGCAGAAGCTGAACAGCCCTCCCCTGACCGTTTCTAGCGCTTCAGCCCACAGTTGGGCATTCTCCTTGACGAGCACCACAAAACAAGCCTCTGTCTGCCTGTAGATCTGAGAGCCTCGCGCGGAGGTTAACTCTTTGCAAGCGGCTAAGGAAGGACCCTGCAGGAGGCGCCACCAGGCACCCCAGAGAACACGGGCGATAACGGACGGCTTCATTGGGCGTCGACAGATGAGATGGCGTCCCCTCCCTTGACTCGTCTCAAGCCTTCATTCCTCCAAGATTCTCAGCCCATCTCTGCCTTTAAGTATGCTCAAACCGCCCAGTCATGGCGTACTTAGACCTCCTGACTCTCAACTCTTCCTCCACCCCAGATCGTGATTCCGCAGGCTGTCATTGAGCCGTGTTATCAACCTCCAGACATATACTGCAGCCGCCGTCGTGATGGAAAACACTCAGCAGCCTCACCCGCAGCCTCAGGCTCAAGCGGCACCTCAACAGCATCATGCACCACAGCAGCATCACGTTTCGTCCTCTGACACGGCCATCATCACGACCCCGGTATGGCTGACCGTCATCCGCGGGTTCCAGTTCTTCTTTGCAATCATCATTCTCGGCCTCGCGGCAGCCATCATCCACTGGGTCTACATGGACGAGCTTGGTCTCGCTGTAGCAATCGTATGTTCTCAGCCCCACTAACACACTTCCGTCAACTAACGCAAACCCGCAAGTCTCTATTCACGTGGATCATCGTCGTCTACTCCCTCTTCACAGAAAAGATCCCCGGCCTCCGCAAGGCGTACCAGATCTACGCCGTCCTCGCCCTGGACCTCTTCCTCTGCATCCTCTGGCTGAGCACCATGGGCGCCGCCGCCGCCCGCCGGAGCACCTTTGTCGTCCCCGTCAACGCGTCCTGCTCCTCGGACGGCTCCGCCGTCAACTCGGGCGTCTGCACCGTAGTCAAGCGCTACATCATCATGGGCAACGGCGCCCTCGCCATGCTCTCCGCCATCGCCGGTCTGTCCGCGCTCGAGCTCATCCTCTTCCTGGTCACCTTCATCTGGACGCTCGTCACGTTCCTCAAGTGGCGCAAGACGAATGCTCCGGCTGCCGCGGCGGGCGCCAGCCAGGGTGAGATCCAGATGGAGACGAAGCAGCCTCTGTACTCCCAGTCGACGTACACCCAGGTTCCGCAGCAGCAGCAGCAAGTCCCTCAGCAGCAGCAGCAGCAGTATTACCCCCCTCAACAACAACAGCAATACCAGCAGCCTCCTCAGCAGTACCAGCAGCAGCCACAGCAGCCGTACCAGGAGATGCCGGCTCAGGGGTACGAGCAGCAGCACCAGCAACAGCACCAGCCACAGCAGTACCAGCAGCAGCCTCCGTATAACCCCTCTCCCGTCTCGGCGCCGGGGTCCCCGCCGCCTCAGGGACAGAACTACCCCTATCCTCCCCAGCCTCAGGAGCTGCGCTAGACTCACGATGTACCAACACCAAAAGAATGATGTGATGGAGTATGTTTGTGTGCAGGACGGGATGGACATTAATACCTTTTAATCAATGATACCTCAACTCTATCTCTCAATTAAGCATGCCCAAATAACGTGTCTCAATCTTGGTCCCCTCTCCCGCGCCCGTGACCGCAATCTCAACCACCTCGCCGGGCACAATGTCCACCAGGTTATCCCCAAACACCACCGCGTCGTCCTCGCACTCCAACGCCACGCCCTTGACGGGCACCTCGGCGCTGACCTTGACTACGCCCTCGTCAACCACCGCCTTCAGCTCCTTCGGCTTCTGCAGGTGGAGGTACTTGAGCGGCTCGGGCCAGTTGACGTACCGCGCGACCTGCTTGCCGTCCTGGACGAGGTACGCCGCGACGACGGTCCTTGCCTCGTCGCCCTTCTCCCGCGCGGGGACCTTGAACGCCGCGATCTCGGTCGACCTGTTCTCCGGCAGGACGATGGCCCCCGCGACGATCTCCGAGTACGTCTCCTCGCCCGTCTCGACGTCCCACGCCTTGACCAGGCAGTCCACCGTCAGATCCGCCAGCTGCAGGTTCGACCCCCAGATCTCAATCTGGTGCGTCACCTCGACGTCGACGCGCGTGTACTTGTCCCTTGCGTGGCGGTGCTCGCGACGCGTGATGCCGACGGACAGCGGCGCCATCTCGCGCTTCACCGTAAAGTAGGCGTGCTTGGGCCGGAGGTAGTAATCGCAGATGGCCCACGAGGTGACGGGCCAGCAGTCGTTGATCTGCCAGACGAGGGCGCCGCCGCAGTACTCGCGCCCGGGGCCCTTCCACTGGCGCTTCCACAGGCGGTACGCGGAGGCGAGGCACTCGGCCTGCATCAGCTGCGTGCAGTAGACGAAGTGCTCCAGCGGGTCCGGGGCGTAGCGGAAGTTCTCGACGAGGTACAGGGCGATGCGCCGCTCGTGGCCGTCGGCCTTGTTGTGGAAGTCGATGGTGGAGGATTGCGGGTAGCGATCCGGGTCGTCGCGGCCACGGGGGAGGAAGGCGTCGATGGTCTTGACGGAGGGGAAGGCCTCCATGCCGAATTCGGACACGAAGCGGCCGACGAGCTTGTCGAAGTTTTGGTACTTTTCCTGGGTGCCGTGCCAGACGTTCCACTGGTGCAGGTCGCCGACCGTCGGGTCGCGCGTGTTGTCGCCGGACCAGGGGGAGCCGAAGTGGTAGTAGACGTCCGGGATGAGGTCCTTGCAGGCGTCGACGAGGATCTTCTCGTAGATGTAGCGCGCGGGGAAGTCGGTCTTGAGCCAGCTGTCGGGGTCCTTGTCGGCGAGGTCGTAGGTGAGGTTCTCGCTCTCGGCGTACTGGTAGTCCTCGTTGTTGCCGGCCCAGATGACGATGGAGGGGTGGTGGCGGAGCATCTTGACGTTCTCGCGGGCCTCGCGGTCGATGGACTGCAGGAGGGCGGGCCAGGTGGGGTAGTTGCCGCAGCCGAACATGAAGTCCTGCCAGACGAGGATGCCGAGCTCGTCGCAGGCGTCGTAGAAGGCCTGCTCCTCGTAGATGCCGCCGCCCCAGACGCGGACCATGAGCTGGTTGCCGTCGGCGAGGAGGCGGATCCAGTCGCGGTAGCGGTCTGCGGAGATGCGGGGGATGAAGTTGTCGGCGGGGATCCAGTCGCTGCCGCCGCAGAAGACGGGGACGTTGTTGACCTGGAAGAAGAAGGAGGTGCCGGGCTGCTCCTTGACGGGGCGCTGGACGAGCTCGACCTTGCGGATGCCCATCTTCTTGGAGAGCGAGTCGACTTCTTTGTCCGAGTCTGACACAAGAGTCGCGGTGACGGTGTAGAGGGGCTGCGCGCCGCAGCGGACGGGGTACCACAGTGCCGGGTCCTGGATGTGGAAGGTGGCGGCGACGTCGGCGTCGGGCTGCGCGTCGACGGTCTCGGAGGCGACGGGCTTGTCGTTGAGGGAGACGTCGAAGCGGACCTTGGACGCCTTGCCCTCTGTCGTCGCGTGGGCGACCACTTTGGCGGACTTGAGGGACGGGTCGACGGTTGTCTCGAAGTAGAGGTCGGAGAGGCGGGAGGCGTATACTTCGAGGTTGATGGGCCGCCAGGGGCCGCATGTCAGGAGCGTCGGGCCCCAGTCCCAGCCCTGGGTAGGTGTTAGTGAGGATCTCATGAGGGAGATAGAACGAGACATACCCAGTGATATTGAGCTTTGCGGACCGCCAGCCGCGAGTTGTCGCCGTTCCAGCAGCCCCATTTGTGATCGGGATACTTCTCTACCAGCTTCCATCCCCGGAGGTAGGCGCTGTCAAATGTGATTTCAAGCTCATTCTCACCACCGTCCTTTTTCAGTACGGACGTGACGTCGACGCGCTCGGGGATGAACATGTTGTCCGACTCGAGGATTGTCTCGCCATTGAGCACGACGGTGGCAAAGGTATCCAGACCGTCAAAGGCCAACACAGCCTTGGCCCCCTCCGGGACGGCGTCCGGGGAGGCGAAGGTGGTCCGGTACAGCCATTGGGCCTCGCCGATCCACTGGACGTCGAGCTCGTTCTTGCCGATGAAGGGGTCGGGGATGACGCCGTGGTGGATGAGGTCGAGGTGGACGTTTGTAGGGAACTGGCTGACGGGGAGGAGTTTGGCGTCTTGCTTGTCGGCCTGCTTGAAGTGCCAGTTCTTGTCGATGGGCGTCACGCTCCGGGGGGCTGCCATTGTGCTTTGAGACGTGTTAGCTGCGCTGGAGCGGTGTGGCAGGCTCGCGTGGAGGCGCATTGGAAAAGAATGAGGGGTGGTAGAATGCCAACTGAGGGTATAAGAATGCCCAAACTCACGAGGGATGCTGGGTGGTGGACTGCTTAAGAAGACGGCGGATGACGAGACGATGTCGGATCGATGCGCACCGAGCGTCGTGCCCCGCGGAGGATGGCGGGGTCGCTGGGGGAAGCTGGGAACGACGACGGGGGTGTCTTCCAGGGGTGAGGGGCAGGTCCCGATTGCTCGATGAAATGACAAGACGAAGTGCCACTTGAGCAACACTCACAAGAATAATCTGAGGTGTGATGGACTGAGTACGGCGTCAATTCCGAGCCTGCAAACTATAAGAGTAGCTCAGACACGAAGTAACCTGCTCATCTGAAGATGAAGCAATGGCCGGAGGAGGCGCCGTCTTCATATACTCCCGCAAACACGGTCTCTCCACCTCGTCAGTTCAGTTCCAAGACACCAGCCGGCCGAGGTGCCCAGGATGTAGGATCACCAGTGCGTTCGATTTTCAGGGATCAGAACGTGTTTCTCAGTCTGAACGACGGGACGACACCCGCCGAGATGCATCTCCCTGGCCTTGTTCCCCCACACCGTCCCCTCCATTGCGAAGGTAGACTCGCCGAGACGCCTCTTTTCTCCAAACTGGAGGCGTGGGAGTGTTACATCCCTTGGGTAAGGATGCGTGCCTGGGGGCTGCATTCATAAGTAATCCGTGGCACAGCAACTGGTGATTCTTTGCGCTTTGTACATAACCCGACCTCATGATGTTCAAGACCTGGCTTCTCAGAAACTGTCTTGGCTCTGACTTCCAACACAAATCGAAGGAATTGCGGCATCTCATCCCATTCGACAACCAACGTGCTGGATCCAACATCGAGCCATCGGGAATATAAATCACCACCGACAGTGGAGAAAGTCACCCATTACCCCAAAAGCCATCCCCAACTCCATCCCCAAACCCCTGCTCACGTCGGTGGGGTCCCATCACGGAGGGAGGCCTTCCGTTTTCCTGTTCGGGGCATGGGCTCCATTAAACTCTCCGACGTGATCGCATCCTTTGAGTGTCTCCGAAGACATAGATAGCCTCATGACGACTAACACCGAGGTCAACCTCCTGCCGTCCGCTTTCTCAGAACTCAAATCATTGGAGATGCGTGCTTCCTTGGTTCGTGGTACCACTCTGCACCTCGCCGTTTCAGTTGTCTGATTTTGTGGATATCTTCCTCCATCACAACCACTGGCGCAAAGGCATTCCCGCCGCGGGGGATTGACGGACATGAAGATTGACACCGCTTTCGCCATACATAATGGAAGCTGGGACTCCGTCTGTTTACATGTTCGGCCTGATTAGTGATGCACAGCAAGTCGTTCACAAGACTCATACGTAAGTTGAATCGCCATCTGGTTCCATCACGCCACCGACCTCGTCTACGGGTGAATGTGTGTCATTATTGTATGTAGCTGTAAACAGGTGTATGTGTGCGGCCGGCCCCGACTTGGGAACGAGGTATCTATCCCGAAACGCCAGCTCAACTCGGTTCATGAAGCGAAATCCGCCGCCTTCTCCAGTCGTCAGGTATATCAGATCCCAGCAACATCTCGTCGTGCGAGCCCCTCATCACGGCCCGGCAGAAAGTAGCAACACAATCTTCCAGAAACTCCTCGCAAACTCCAAAGCCCACAAAAGAAAACATATCAATACGAGGTCTGCTGTTCCCTCCGCCGTCAGAAAGCACCGAGCGTGTCTCCGGTTGACCAACATTAACAGCACTTGCCGCCTCCGCGTCGGTTGGAAAGCGTAAAGACCTCTTCCCACTCCCGCAGCCCCCAGTTCGCGCCGCTGCGGGTGTTTCGCCTGCCTCTCCGTCTCCGCACGGTGCCGGCATCGTCGAGCGTCGCGCCGGTCATGGAACTCTTGATACTCGCCCCGTCACTGGCGCCCGCGTTCCAGCCCCCACCGTAGCCGTCGCCGTACTGGATGCCGCTCATCGGATCGTCCGGATCGATGTCACCCAGCTCGATCTTGGTCAGGATCATGCGCGCCAGCCTCGCAAAGATCTCGTCCACGTTCTCGCCGTTGAATGCGCTCGCCTCCATCACCACGGGGATCCCGACCTTGCTCGCCCACTGGTTCGCATCAGAGTTGCTGACCTCGCGGCCCTCGGGGGCTTCCGACGCTTTTTGCTGCGTGCCGAGCGTCGGCAGGCTGGTGCCGGCGGAGCCGTTTGTAAAGTAGGACATGGAGCCGACGCTGCTCGGTGTTGGCGGGGGTAGGCTCGTGTCGATGAGGGGGTCGGAGGCGAGATCGAGCTTGTTGCCGACGAGCAGACAAGACAAGTTCGGCGACGCTAGAGCGCGGGCATCGTTGAGGAAGGGCTGCAGTCCGCGGAAGCTGGTGTGGGATGTTACGTCGTAGACGAGGATAGCGCCGGCGGCGCCTCGATAGTATGAGCGCGAGACGGAGCGGAATCGTTCGGTGCCGGCAGTGTCCCAGAGCTGTCGCCGCCGTCGTTAGCTTTTCTTCTCTCGTTGTGATGATGGCAAAAGTTGCGTCGCGCGTACCTGCAGCTTTATGCGTTTCCGCCGGGATCCGGTGCCGACCTTGATGATCTTGCTCGCGAACTCGACACCGATAGTCTGGGACGATAAGACCCGCCATTCGTTCTTAACGAAGCGGTGCAGCAGGCAGGATCTGGATGCGCAAAGACAACGTCAGCCATGTCTCGACTCCGGTATGATGTATCGCAGGTGCTCGCGTGGTGTCGTAGGGGTCACTCACTTTCCTGTCCCGCTAGGTCCCAAGAGGATGATCTTGGCGAGGTAGTCGTACATGCTCCCCAGCTCCTGCGCATCCCGTCAGCATATTTGGTCCTTTTTCGACGTCGGATCGAGGTGTCGGAATGTCCTGACCTGCTGGCCAGCGGTGCCATCGCTTTCCTCGCTGGCGGCGCTGGAGCGACGCGGTCTCGTCATAGTGGCGGTGCGGAATGTTGTGTTGCGGTGATCGGATCGGAAAAGTCGGGCAACGGACGGCGCTGCGATAAGGACGGATCGTGGGCGTTTGTTGGTAAGCAACAGCGAAAAACGAGCAAGGAACCGCGACTGGGAAGAAAGAAAAGACTCGAGCAAAAAACAAAAATCGTAAGGCGGCGGCCTCTGGCTGGGCGCGACGTTGAGGTCGCAGCGAGCAGTTTGGACCTGCGTTTCGTATCGTGTCGGGCAAGGGAGACGGACTGATTGAGGTGATTGATGTACAGTGCTGGTTGATGCAGCAAAGAGGGAGAAGGTCACTGCAGCGTAAGGCAAGGCAAGGTATTCTTGGAAACAAGCCCCCCAGCAACGTTGAGCAATACTCTGTACAATGACGGAAGACGCACCAGGCGACCAAGCAGAGCAGCGCAAAGCACAAGGACCAGGCCCCAGAACCCGGAACCCAGGACCCAGGAGCCTTGAACGGTGCTTGAACTTGTCCTGTGACATGGGATGGCCGCCAAACCACGCACTTTCCGTCCTTCACAGGCTCAGAGCAGCACCACACTGCAGTAGCAGCACCACCTGGACCGCCTGCTGAGTCCACTGAGTGTGGTCCACGTCGATACGCGGGAGGCTCGAGCGCCGGGCCTTTTTTATCTTCCCTTTTGTTTTTATGAAGGTGGGTGGGCAGCCACACGCGTGGCTCCGATAAGACACTTTCCCAGATACGTACCGTCTTATCAGTGGGATGGAAAGAACAGGCGGGTACGAATACGTACCGTAATGGGCAGTCATTCATCACTCACTCACTGGAAGCATGGAAGCAGCCGCCAATGGCACACCCACTACCTGAGCAGGGGCCACAGCTCACCGCAGTCGCACACCGAGGCCCCGTACCGAGGCTTGACATCACCGGACTACCGAGCTTCAGGGGACCGGCTGTAAGCTCACGCCTCCCGCATCAACGACGAGCTTTCATCTACTCCTAATTTATGCGACGAAACACGTTTAACTTTCTGTAAAAACATTTAAGCATCATGAAGATTGACGGCCGTACTTTCATCATTTCAGGCGGGTAAGCAAGGCGTCCCTGTTATGCTGGTCGAAACCGTGGTATCCCTAATCACATGCCAAACACCAACATCATCAACTCATGCTGACTTGCATCCAATTACAGAGCCTCTGGCTTAGGTCAGGCCTGCGTGGAGGAAATATGCAGGAGCGGCGGCAATGTCTCCATCTTGGACATGAATGAGGACCTGGGCAACGAGCTGGTCGCCAAACTGGGCTCTTCCGCCAAATTCTTTGTCTGCGATGTCCTCGACACCAAGAGCATCGAGGCCGCTGTCCAAGGCACCGCCGAGTGGGTGAAGCAAACCGGCAAGCCCGTCGGCGGCGTCATTCCGGCTGCCGGTGTAGGAAACCCAGCGACGGTAAGCCCGATCTCTTCACGTCGGCCATGCTCCCACCACTAACGACTTCCAGATCCTCGACCGCGACGGCAACCCCTTCAGCCTCGACCAGTGGGACTTTGTCCTCAACATCAACCTCCGCGGAACCATCGACCTCACCCGCCAGGCCCTCGCCCTCATGGCCAAGAATGAGCCCTCCACGCCCGACGGCGAGCGGGGCGTCGTCATCATGGTTGCCTCGTCCGCCGCCTTTGACGGGCAGAAAGGCCAGGTTGCCTATGCCGCCAGCAAGGGCGCCGTCACCGCCATGACCCTCCCCATGACGAGAGACCTCGCCCGCTTCGGCATCCGTGTCGTGACCATTGCCCCAAGTCTGTTTGAGTCCCGAATGACTGCCGTCATGGGCAACAAGGTTCGCGCCAGTCTGGAAAAGGCCATGGAGTTTCCCGTCAGAGCTGGCAAGCCCGAGGAGTTCGCAGCGCTGGCGAAACACGCTATTGAGAATGTGATGCTCAACGGCACGGTGCTGCGGCTAGACGGAGGAATGAGGATGCCGAGCAAGATGTAAGATAATAGTTAGCAGTTTAAAAAAAGAGTTCTGCTATCCGGACGAATCCTTCGAGCTACGCAGCCGCATAATTATTGTTAGGTCTAATAGTTTATCGCAAATTAGCGATTCTGTCGTTCCTCGTGTTACTGTCGTCGCTATTATTGCAGTCGCCCTGTGGCTGTCGTCCCTCTTGTGATCTATGCCTACTACCCGCCCAGATAGCAGAACTCTGGAACTCGGAAGATATTGGACAGAGCTTGACACACATTCGAATCACCAGGCATATTGACGAGGCACAGCATCGGTAGCTATTCGATTGGCAAACCATTGCACACGTTTCTCTGTTCTTGCTCTGTTCTTGAGGAGCACTGTCGTATCCCAGGTCCATCTCCGTCCTGGCATGTCTCAATCCTGTTGAAATACACAAACGTACTCGGAGATCGCAGGCCAAGGCACCCCTTTCTCCTCTCGAACCTCTTCGAAAACACCAGAGTCGTCCTTCACAGTCGTGAAGCGGTGTGCTTGACTGCGATTTACGGCCAGGAAGTAAACACTCTCGAGACTCGGGCACATCCGGAAGAGCGCCTTGGCATTCTCACCCTGGTGCTCTTTTGCGTCGTGATTTTCCTGGGCCAGCTCATAAGCCTCCCAATAATGATCGCTGCCGCATGCCTCGTATATCTCAACCCCGTCAATGTCGGCCTCCTCCCCTGCGTTACAGTGCTCGCAGTTGGCTGACAGATCATCTTGAATATCCTCCACATTCAAGTCGTCTGGGTGGACTAGGTCCGTGAGTGCCAGAACCTTGAGTTGTCGAAATGGCTCGAATATTGGGACCAATTCCTGTGATTCTCTGAATTAGCTCTATGACTGTGGAAATACAGGAGTTCGGACAGAACAAGGGCAAAGAAAGAAGACAAAGTGACGCAATGAAAAGACCTACTGAGATCATAAGCTCGTGGTCAATATTCCCACTGAGTATCAGCTTGGTGACGTCCGGGAAGAAGTCATGAATTTCAGAAACATGTTCGAATTCCCAGCGTGTCTTTCGGAGGCTGATGGTCTTCAGATTGAGCGATGACAACCAAAGCAAGTCATCCAGAGAAACATCGTGTGATTGGCGTCCGACGTTCAGGTGGAGGGCGTCCAATTCAGGAAAGGCCTTTTGCATGAAGATGACGCCTGGCGTTCTCCGGACCAGATCGAATCCGTATTGTAATTTCTTGACGACCGGCAGCACGACTTGTTGCTTGAGAAGCTCAATTCCTAAGCGGTCGCCAAACACATGATCATGGAGTAGGTTGAGGCACAAGTCGCTGAGACGGGGCATGTGACTTAGAAGTCTCGCAAGACTGATATACGTTTCCGGCTTCCAATCACGGTTGGTTTCGCTGAAGAGGTTGATTTCCAGGTGCCTACGTAGAGTCAGCAATGTTCCATTGGCCCGTCGTCTTCATGATGTAGGGCAAGCACTTCAGAGAAGCCGGGGCAATAGGCGCAAGGTCGGAACTGACTGAACAATATACAGAAGTCTGTTGCCCTCGATAGACTGAATTTTGGACAGGAACTCGTGGTACGGGGTATGAATTCGCATGGTCGTGAAGATGAATGGTATGCACATCTCGCGAAGGAACTTGGTAACGAGAGAAAGCCGGACAACATCGGTTTTCTTTCTAGAGATTTGCTCCCTGGTTCCCATGCAATGTTTGATGATCTCGAGGACAAGCTCTCTCGGGAGAGTGACAAGGTAGGTCTTCGAGTGGAAGGCAGGAACGGCAAGAGATCGGTCTAGTTCTCGGACACAAGCGCTGCCAACGCTTATGCCGGGCGATTCTTGGTCGATGTCCATCGGGGTCGTAGACGGCTCAGGCGCGGGAAGAGAGTTGTTGCGCAGGCGTACCGGGTGATCGGTGTTCTGGAGCTAGAAGGGCTGGGTTGGGAAAGAAAGAAATTTCCTGGAGAACGTAAAGAAGGAAATTTGATTCGGGTAGGCAATGTTGCGCGAAAGGTGAGGTAAGCCAGCCCGTTTGTTCAAAATGAGAAGGCACGAGGGCCCATCAGTCAGTGCAGCTGAAAGGTTTTGGAAGGAAGGCTGCCTTGAGATTGCCCCTTCGCTCCTTCGCGACCAGAACAACATCATTCTTCGTGTCAAAGACCAAGGCCACTTCCAGAGAGGCAAAAACAAAGAAAGCCACGGAAAAAGAATTCTACACGCGGAGCCGACTGTAGCGGCGTGATTTCGATTAGGATAGCAATAAGATATCGGACATACTCCATAGTCAGCAGTTCAAAAAAGAGCTCAGATGTCAAACAGAGAAGCTTCTCACGTCCATGAAAGAGCGAAAATTCAAATCTCGGAGCATGTTCGGAGCCACTGTGCTAGCAGCTGCTATTCGATTGATAAACTATGATGCACGCTTTGCGTTGCTACACTTCGTATCCCAGAATCATCTCTGTCTTAGCAAGCATCTTCCTCTACCAACTGTTTGGAAATCCCAGGCCAGTCTACAGCCTCCTTATACTGGATTCTGACGAGTCTGCCCGTATTATCTCTCACAGGCCTGTACCGAGTGCCCTGAGCCCATGTGATCTGGAAGTACAAAACTCCGAGATTCGGGCATTCTCGAAAGATGCCCCTCATGTTCTCTTTCTGGTCCTCTGCCAAAGGGTGATCTACTCGGGCCAAATCAAGGGCTTCACCATAATGCCCCCCAGTGAAGGAGCATTCCACGCAACCACAAACACCCTCGTTCTCCTCGTCCTCCGCGCAAACAAGATCCATGTCGTCGGTCAGGTAACAATTTGGACATGGGCAGGCTTCTCGAACTTCCCGCAGGGACTCTCTCAGATCATCCTCGTCAATAGAAATGCGGTCAGTCAGGGCTAAAACCCTGAGATTTTGAAACTTCTTGATCGTCGGGATCGACTCCTATTGTTAACTGAGGTCAGCTAGAGCATACTAGATCTTTGATACGACAAGATAAAAGGAAAGGAGCAGGCAAAGCATAAAGAGGGAGTGGCTATTAATACCGAAATCATGACATCGCCAACTTCTCCTCCGATGATCAACTTTGTAATGTTTGGAAACAGCTCGTGAATCTGATCGAAAGTCTTGGAGAACCACGTTTCACTGTGGAGGCTAAGGGTGTGTAGCTTCAGGCTGGGTGCGGTAGTAGACAGGCCAGGTACTTCCTCCGGAGTAGCAATCATTCCAAGATCAAGATGAAGGGCACAAAGTCCCGTGAAAACTGCCGGAATGAAGCTGACCGACAACGATGGATCCCACATAGAGTCCGGCATGTTGTATTTGAAATTCTTGACGGTCGGAATGATGATGCGCTGCTTCAGGAGTTCGTCGTGGACGGCGGTTGCCAACGATTCCGTTCCATATCGCAGGGTCAGGTTCAGGTCTTTGAGATTCGGCATGCGGCCTAGAAATGTTGCTAGACGAGGAGGCAGGCTCGGTTCCCACGAAGGAGTAGCATTTCCTGAGGCTCTTGAAACTATGCTGAGATGTCTATTGGAAATCAGCGCTGTCCAACTGATGGTGCCGTCTATTCAAATATTAATGGACTCGTGAAGTGCCAATAACCTACTGAACGATTTCAAGGATGCGGCTGTTCTCGAGAACTTGAATATGGCCAAGAAGTTCGACATGGTTGGTTCTCAGCTTCAGGGTCCTGAAGAGTATCGGGACGCACATCTCGCGAAGGCTCTTGTCCACAAGAGAAAGCTGTGAAATGGTGATGGTTCTGTTCACTGTGATAGTGTTTCTGAGCGGTCGTGTAGGTACGCAGAGCTTGATGATTTCGAGGATGAGCTCTCGTGGGAGAGTGACGAGGTATGTCTTGGCCGAGGTTGGAACGGCTTGAGGCAGATCTGGTCCTCTGGCAGCAGCGCCACTTTCAGCAGCGCCTGCGGTGAGAGACTTCACCTCGGCGGCCATCACGATTGTGGCCGAGCAGAGGTGCGGATGGAAGCGCTCTGTTGCGCAGCCGGTTGTCCTTTGGCAGGTGGTTGAGATGGAACGGGCAAATTCTTCTCTTGATTTTCAGGTGTATGGGAAGTGGAAGTAGGCAGGAGTTGGTCAAAACCAGGCAGATTTTGCGGCAGAGGTGAAGTGAGTGTGAGCTTCCATGTCAAAGAGGAAAGAACGTCGTGGGGACCCACCCTTGTAGTTGCAATAAAGCCCTCTATTTCAGAGGCAGGCGCGTCCCTCGAGCTTGCTCCTGTCTCGGCCGATCTCTCGGAGAGCAACATTCATTACAATCCTAGCTTCAAAATAAGACACGTGAATTATACAGAAAATCCAACAGCCTTCCTAGCATCATTCAAGAACAGGTGCGTTCGTCAGATGTGTGCGAGTTTGCTTATGGGAGCTGTCTGACTAGACCTCAGTTTGGTATTTCTTTAGAAGAGACCGCCTATTAACCTTGCTGTCGCCATATTGTTCATTGTTGTCGTTGTTGTTGTCGTCGTCGTTGTTACTATCGTCGCCCTCTGAGACCACACTTTATCTACCACCGTCTTCAATAGTAGAAATCTGTGAAGATCTGAGACCAATCCTCATACTCGTTGATGATGACAGTGTCAACGTTGCCCTTGTCATCTTTGATAGGACGGTAGCAAGTAGCATAGTCGTCGCTGCGGAGCTGAAAGTATACGGTCTCAAGTCTAGGACACTCCTCGAAGAGCCTGATTGCATTCTCCACTTGTTTCTCTTCCATAGATATGGAGAGATTTCGCTGAGCCATGTCGTGAAACTTCTCGTAGTTCTCGTCATTGTAGTGGCATTCGTCACAATCGCAGTTTGTGTCGATGGTACAGGGGTCGTCACCGAGACAACAGTCGCAGGCGCAGACGCCCTCTTCGTCGAGCAAGTTCGTTATCACATCTCCCATGGTGAAGTCGAAGAGATCAGTGAGCCCGAGAATCTCAAGCTTCTGAAATCGCCCGAAGACCGGGAATACGGTCTGAATGCGCTTTGTCAGTTTCTGTGCAGCTCGAAAACGAAACGAGAAACTTACAGAGAGCTTGAACTTTTGGATCTCACCCCCAATGATCAGCTTGGTAACACCTGGGAAGAGGTCGTAAATCTCGTCGAAGTCTTTCGCTTGCCAACCAGAGTTGCAGAGGCTCAGGGTGTGCAGGTTGAGCTTGGATGCAATAGTAGACAAGCCGGGGATCGTCTTCGGAGAGTTGTCCATCACGATACTGAGGTGGAGGGCGTTCAGTCCAGTAAAGACAGTAGGAATGAAATGGGCCGTGGTCTCTGCGAAGTGCCTGAACCTTGTGACGCCGGGAACGGTAATGCGTTGCTTGAGGAGCTCGTATTGAACAGCCACCATGAGACTCTGGTATCCATCCTCGAAGTAAAGATCCAAGCCTTGCAGGTTTGACATCTGGCCCAGGTCGCTCGCAAATTGGGCAGGCGTGTCTCGATACCAGGACTCACTCGCGTTGCCTGAAGTCTTGGCGCGAGGCAGGACAGAAATGATTCTCAGATGACTGCTTCAGCTTATTAGAATCATCCAAATACCAGACACTGTAGATGCCGAAGCCAGCGTCCAGCGAAACGCCCGGAGCGAAAGTCCGAAGGCTGCTGCTGCCGCCCCCGCCCTTGCCGCTGAGGACGTCACTGCCCTCAATTCCTCGAACAAGACGAGAGAAACGGCGGTGGTTAGTGCGCATCTGCACAATGTTGAAGAGGGTTGGAATGCACATTATTCGAAGGCTCTTGTTAACGGCAGAAAGCTGGGCGACATCTCGTTTGAGGTCAGGCCTGTAGGGTGGGATGCAGAGTTGAATGATCTCGAGAATGAGCTCTCTTGGCAGAGTAGCGAAACCTGTTTTCTCGATCACAGTGCCGCCTCTGCCGTCGTCTTCTGTCGTCGTCATCCTCTGTTGTCGTCCTCTATCGCTGCTTCTGTCGTCGCCTCTGTTGCTACCTCTGCCGTTACCTTTGTCATCGTCTGCGCCGGGAGAGTCCATCACGATGGCCGTCGGCGTCGTCGGGGATCCAGCCATGTCAAGGGAGAGTCGCAGCGCAATTGGTTGGTGTTTTTGGTAGGTGCCCTCAAATGGGCGAACCTGGTTTGATTTTCAGTCAGTCGGAAGATGGAAGAGGTGTTTAGTCAAATAAGTTAGGTGTTGTTGCGCCCACAGCATGGTGAATTCAGCTGTTTGTCAAGGTGAAAGAAAAGCCTGAGGCTCCACTGGTGCAGTTGCAAACAAAAGCCTTTCAGAAGCAGGCGCAACGGTGTTTGGTGCATTCCATGTCTCGATCATTCTACTGGAGGAATATTTACTGCATCTCAGAATATTCAAAGACGCACTTGCTGATGTAACAAAGGCTGGAGGCCTCAGAATAGTTTATTTCCATCACCATGAAAATAATCGCGCATAGATGAGCTATTCTAAGCTGCCTTCTATTTCTTGCGCACTTTCTTCGGTTGGAAGATCTACTCAAATACCTCCCTCTCCTACTCTTCGCAATGAGAACATTCTCATCAAACTACCATTATTTTGACCGAGTTTGACTGTGTTGGTTGTGGAGCTGAATCTGGCTCAATCTCGTCGAGACCTCTGGTCACTTGATGACAATGAATCCTTCTTCCCTTCTAGCTTTTCTTTCGCAGTTTGCCGCCTGGAGGCGCACCGTTTTAAATCTGTCAAGGCAGTGCAGTTTCTTAAGACTCAGGCACGGCTGATACAATTGTAACCGTTGAAGTGTACGTTATTAGACGATATGTAGACACATATGACAAGTGGAATGGAAGTCTAAGAAACTGCAATAATCCCGTTTAATGATACAAAGAATTTGAAAGATTGCTGGTAACTCGAAATCGTGCTTTCACCGCGATGAGATCTGGGTGTTTGGGGGTACAACTGTAGAGACCGGGCAACCGCCACATCTTCAGGAGTTTGGGGACTCTAAATGGAAGCATAATACCTGGAATTTTATATCCTACACCGAAATGCACGTGCAAGGCCAGTCAGAGGATATCTGTAGGTGGCGGTTTCTTAGTCGACTTTCCTATGTGACTATCATCAAGTGTTTTTATAAGCTTTTTAAGAGACCCCTTAACGAGGCCTCCTCAGTGGCTTCTGACATTAGATGGTCAGACGGAGGTGGATATGATAAGATGTCTTCTCAGCCGTGATCGCGGAGATAGAAGAGTTCCAAACACTTGTCAAACGTACAGCATTCCCATCAAACTTAACCGGTAGGGCGGAACGAGAAGCATTTATTTGACGGAATTTCGGCAGTGTTTGGTCCGAGGAAAGAACCCTCACCCTTAGGCCGATGTCTTGTGGTTCTTGAGTCCAGCAAACCACACTAGTCAATTGCTTTCTTATTTAGAGACTTGGAAGGAGATGGAACTTGGATTTGGTCATTTAGTAGTCAGGCACACACGGGAAGCGGGCATGGAAATCTTTCACAGAATAGATATTTTTATTACATGCACCATGTGCACTTTGTCTAGCTAAGATATTGGCAACTGGTCAAAACCAACTACCGGGGAATCATTTGACGCGGGAAATCATTACAACCAAATGAGGTATAAGCATGCCCCGACCCTTTCCAAGACATTTGGTCCAGAGACGTGGCGAACATTATCGGAAACACGTTTCTCTTTCTTCTTAGACCTTGTCGCTGACAACAGTCTGAGCGTGGGCGTCTTCCTGAGCCGCAGCGGTGGGCTGGTTCTGGCCGAGGAACTTGGTCTTCTTGAGCTGGTTGAGGTGGTCCTCCTCGCTGTCGAGGTGCTTGAAGCAGAACCAGAAGGCGACACCGCCGACAAAGGCGATGATGGCAACGGAGGTGTAGTTCCAGACGAGGAGGGGGTCCTCGGACAGAGGGGTCCAGGCCTGGCCGATGGCGGCGGAGACGGCGCTCATGGCCAGGTTGACGGACATGACGAGGGACTTCATGTTCTCGGGGGCCTTGGAGAAGGCGTACTCGTACGAAGTGACGTTGGTGAAGATCTCGGCGAGACCGATGAAGATGTATGGGAGGCACTGGGCCCAGACGTTGATCTGGGCGGGACCCTCCTCGCAGACGGTGGCCAGGTTGCCGCAGGGCGACATCTGGTAGATGTAGTGCTGCATGACGGCGGCGGCGACCATGGAGGCGGCGGCGAAGAAGAAACCGGTGGTCATGCGCTTGATGGGGGTGAAGTTGAAGCCCATCTTACGGAACAAGGGGTAGACGCCGTGGTCAAGAATGGGGATCATGATGATGATGGAGAGGGGGTTCAGGTTCTGGATGACGTCGTTGGGGGCGCCGCCGAGAACCATGGAACCGGCCTGGGAGGTCAGGTTGTTGGTCATCTGGTTGTAGGCGAGGAAAAAGACGGGCAAGAAGAGGAAGACCTTGCAGGCCTTGAGACCACGTCTGCACTCGTCAACCCAGGCATCGTCGTAGGTCAACCAGCTGGGGCGCTCAGCGACGGGGACGTTGCTAGGCTTGGCCATGTCCCAGTTCATCTTGCCGAAGCCGCCGGAGCGCTTGCGGGCGAAGTTGGTCATCTTGAGGAACTTCTCGAAAACGGAGCCGGTGGGGGGAGTAAGGTGGTACTTCTTCTTGTTGGACCAGAGAACAACGGGGCAGATGAGGAAGAGGATAGTAGGGAGCAAGAACGCCAGCCAGAAGCTGTGGTACTTCTCGACGAAGACCATGGAGACCTGTCCGGAGACGGCACCAACGTTGATGCAGAAGTAGAACCACAGGAAGACACGGGTGTTGGTGACGGCGGGGTCGACAATCACGCGCTCGCCGTTCTGGACAACGACGCGCATGCGGCTGTCAGGGTTCTGCTCAGCGAGAAGAGGGGAGATGTTGGCCTTGAAGAGACCAGTTCCGGTGCAGAGGGTGAAGAGGCCGATGAAGAAGGGGGCGAAGGCGGTCTTGCCCTTGTCGAGCACGGAGGGGGCAGCGGCAACGGTCAGAATAACGTGGGCGAGGGTAGAGACGACAATGGCGATGTGGATGACCACGTAGCGACCAAACTTGGCATCGGCCAACCAGGCACTGGGAAAGTTAGCCGGTTGTTCTCGCGTGTTTTCTGCATCACAAGCACAACTTACCCGAAGAGAGGGGTGATGTATGCCCAGAACATGTTGACCAGAGAGACACCCTGGGAAGCTCTCTGACCCATGTTCAGAGCACCGGGAACGCGGTCATCGTCGCTGTAGGTGGCGCCGGTCCTGGAGCCGGCGGGCATGGGACGCATGACGAAGTTGGTGTACAGAACGGAAGATCCATAGTAGGAGAAACGCTCGCAAAGCTCGGCGAAGGCGATGGTGTACATGCTCCACTTGATAGGTCCGGAGACACGGCGGAGGGTGTGAAGCTCCTCCTCGGTGGGCTTGTCCGGGTACTCGTCGTCGGACTTGGAGTCGTAGGCGTCCTCGGTCACGGGGGCGGCGGCGGCGGTCACGTCGAAAGAGCCGCGGCCGGCCTGGATCTCCCTCTCGGTGCCCTGGACGGTGGCCGCGGGGACGTGGGCCTTGGCCAGGACATCGTCCTGGAATCCTCCAAGGTTACTCATGATGAGTTTGCGGGAGCTGTGTTCCTGGTGGGCGATTGGGTTGAAGAACAACAAAGGCAGGAAATCCCGATTAACGATATGCGATAAAGACACGAGTTAACGAGTCTTTTCGACAGCAATTGACAGGTAGGGGTCCTGTTGGCCGTAGTTGAAAGGCTGCTGGTCGCAAGAAGAGAAGGGGAGGGGAAGGCTATTGTCCGGGAGAGCGTCTCGTGGGAGATGTTTTATATTTCCCAGCAGCGATAATGGCAGGTCGCATCACAGCTGCATTCGGCAGCCGGTAGGCATCCGCAGATAGAGACATGGGACATGGGCGGGATGGCTAGCGTGTGGAAGGGTGGAAGCGTGGACTGGGGGTGAAGGGGAAGAGGGCCGGGGGGTGTCAAGGACATGGACTCGTCTAGCGCGGAGGGAGTTGGCAAGGATGGCATGGGATGGCAACAGAACTCACGGGGGTGGTTCAACAACAACATGAACTCTGCAAGGTTCCTGTGGGATGGGACAGATGGTCGTGCGTGGGCGTGGGCCGCCCATCTCGCGCATACCGTCGCCACGGGACGGGAGGCAAAGGTCACCCACGCCATGTTTGAGTACATACGACACTGTAGGCAGACTATCACATCGCAAGACACACGACATCGACCTCTGTATGGGCAATGAGGATGGTTACAGCGCCGGGGACCGCGAGGGGTCTGGGGTCGGACAGGGCATCGACCAACCACCAACAGGAACCCACCGTCCGAGTCGTTCGCTCAGCACCGCTCAGCAGTCGTCGGAGATGGGCGGGCAAGGCGCTTGCAGGATGAGGACGGAGCGATCCAACAGGTGAGAGTCCGCCGCCCAAGACCAGGCTGGACCGAGACAGAAGTCATGGAAATGTGGACAGAGGGAGGAAATGATGGGCCGTGGATGGATCATAGACCTGATGGACCACGATGGGCTCCAGGACAAATGGCCCGATTAGGCAGGTCGAGGATCGGGGGTAATAGATAGGCGGCGGCGTTGTTGTCTGGGGGAGAGAATCAGGGCTCAGCTAAGAGACAGTAGACTCAACGGGACGACATGATTCGTGATTCGTGGTTCGGGTCACACAGCCAGACTGAGCAGCTCAGCAACTCAGCTTGCTGGAGCATATCAGCATCAGCAGCAGCATCGTATCACTATCGACTGTCCTGTCGGTCTTCCTCTATGGTGAGAGAGGGCTGAAAAAGCCTGCGAGAAAGGTTGGACCGTAAAATGCGACCGCCGAGCCTCTTGGCAGCAACGTTGATCGACCTTGGCATCGACGCCACTCGTAGCCTGGTGAGCCGTCATTGGCGCGCTCCCCGGGCTTTCTGCTGTTTTGGTGCTGGCGGGAGGCGCCCGTTGGTGGCTTCGGTTGCTTTTTTTCTTCTTCTCTTCTTCTTGTCCGTCTAACTCGTAGGGGAAGTGGTGCGTCCAACGTGCCAACAAGACTTTCAGAGATGGCGCGGG